GTAATTTCATTTCCTTGGGTCAGGTAGATAAAGTTTATTATTTTATTAGATTTTTGCACAACTCACTTGGTTTTCATTTAAGGTGGCCATGCTCAGAATACCTGCAGTGCGGGATTACTTCAAAATCGACAAGATGGTGGAGCATAAAAAAGACAACCTTCCAATAAAGAAGAAAGGCTTCGTTAAGGGGATGAAAGAATGTATGTAACAAAATAGATTGCCCCATTTAAAGAATTCTGCAGATATCCACTTTATTTTCATTTTAGCATGGGAAAATATGAAAATAACAAAAGAAATTGAAGAGCGCCAACGTCTGGATGAAATCCGTTTTGCCAAAGCCGGCAAGGGTCCCTTAGTGAAGACATTCAAATATGATCCTACCAAACCACAACCTGCGACGGGAAACACAAGTACGAGTACGTCCACGGTACACGCGAAAAAGGCTTAAGTTAGTGTGCTATTAGTTGTTACAGTTTAGTTTTACCAGTTGAACGCTTGAAATGTAAATTTTAATAAAGAAAAGATTGCGGCAAATCGTCGCACGCCTTCAAGCTTTAAAAGAGATGCATTGATTAATGACCTCAGCTAGATGCTTATTCTCCAGCGCGGCTGCAACACGCTCCTTGTCTGCAAGTTGCTTATTAACAGCATTCTCTGATGCATGCGTTCCAGGCGTAATCTCTACATTCACTTTGAAACGTGGTGGCAACGAGCGGAGCAGTTTTACGCGTATGGACAACCCAATGAGTGTAGCCATCGAACAGTGAGGAATCGTGGGCGTAAATTTAATAGTTACCTCATTTTTCTCATCGTTTACTCGAATCAAATCTTCTTGCACTACATGCAGCTCTTCCAATGTGAGTGGATGCTCTGGGTCGTTGATGTTACGAACGAGGTCTGAAAGGACAGTGATAAATTTATCTGCATGTATATATATGCAAAGTAGGCCCAAATATCTACCAAATATTTCACGCGAATCGATGGGGTCCGGCACGTTTTCATCCTCTTCATTTGCGGTCACTTCACGTTCCTTACGTTTCCCATAAACATTTGGGTTTATATTTTCAATTTCTGTGGGCATATTTGCACAAAGTTCTGAATTAAATTGGGAAAATTGCAAGGAATGAGAAGGAAAACCAAATGACAGCCAACGAGAACAAAAAAGCAAAACAAAATGAAAACGTCAAACCAGAGAACGTATATAATTTATACGTTCTCTGCTACCGCGAATCGGTTTGGGTTCAAAAAGCGGTAAGGCGAATCGGTGTGGGGCCAAAATGGACAAATGCGATTTGAAATATTAAAAATTCAGCTATTTTAAAAATTATTAGTCAAAGTTAAAATTTAATCGTTGAATTTACACCGCCGCCAATAAAAAAAATCATTTCCAGAAAAAATTTATCGCATGCAACCCTGTAGTGGCCAGGAGCGAATGAACAAGAAAGAGAGAGGTAAAAACTTTTTCGGCGAGTGAATTTGTTTCATTTTCAATTTGGTTGAGTTTGTCAACGGTTGTTTACGACGGGTTTTTGTGCAATTAAAAAAATATATGGAAGGATGTGAAAAATTAAAAAATGCAGAAGTTGAGAAGTTATTAAATGAAAATTAATACTAATTGTATGAAAAGCAAAGTGATTTATCAGAAATGAATATAGCAAGTTCCAGCGAGCGTAGAAAATGTATTAAAATTCGCAATTAAAGTGCAATTTCAGGGGTGTATATGTAAAAGAAAGCGAAAGCCAGCACAGCATCCTTTTTTTAATTTTTCCACTTTGCGTTTATTCTACATCTTTCCTGCTATTGCATTTTATTATGCGACTGCTCCACCCTCGACGTCCTTGCTAGCTGAAGAGTAGCGTTGAGAAGTATCGGGCTCTGCCAAGTGTGTGAAAAGTGGTACAAAAGACGCGGGAAGTGGTTTGATGCTCGATGGGGGCGTGTAGCTCAATAGCAACATGCAAAAGTTAAAATAAAATATAAGTGTGCAATAGCAAGAAATTGAAAGTAAATCGATTCAGGAAAGAAAAAACAAGTCGCGTCACATAGTCCCCATCATTGCGCTATTCCAACTTTGCAGTTGCGCGTCCGCGGTCGTTTTATGTGTACATCCGTACAAATGTGCATACATACATGTATATTAATGTGTGTATGGATTTGATTGGCATATGTGCAAATGCAACTTAAAGGCGTCGTGTCACCGGCGCCCCAACGCCGTCTACACTTAAAACCGTCGGAATTGATTTGGAACATGTTCACAGGATTACCGGCTTAAGGTATGCGATTGCTAGCAACGAAAAAACAGAGGAATCAGTCAACGATATTGGTAACAAAAACTCTCGTTGTATAAATGAGAGATGCATGGTATACATATGTATGTTAACCTGTGTGCATTTCTCTTATGAATATTTTCTTGTGATCTGCTGATGCTGTCTAATTCCTTTTATCCCTGGGCTTACTTGTGAATAGCCTGAAAAAAAGTTGCTGTCATCGTCCATCGTTGTTGCTGCCTGTGAAAACGAAAGCTGCTTTCAATATTTAGGTATGTGTATATATGTATGTAAATATTATTATGCATGAATACATATTTGTATGTTTGGAGCCACTCCCTTTATCCTGTTGCTAGGACAATAATCTTTCGTGTTTCGCAATAAATCTATGTATTTTAGAGAATTGTAGGTGGTTGAATGCCTACAGTTGTGTTCCTTAGAAAAAGATATTGATTTGAAACTTTAAAAATTGTTAAATTCGAAGGAAATGCGCAAATTATATTTAGTACTTTTAATTAGCGCACAAGCCCTTCTAAATTCGTAATTATAAATACTTGAATGTAATTGCAATAATGGCTGCCAATATTTTTAGATACCCTCAAACAGACCCACTATGCTACATATTTATCCGGTGCCATCTTGATAACACGGTTCACCTGAATTTGGTCTATTTTATCTCAAAAAACGGGAACCTCCTCAACGTATAGATTTTTTGATGCTGATTTGAAGTGCATTTAAAAAATTTTTTAGCGCGTCCAGTTTTTGAGAAAAAACTGTTGAAATGAGAAAAATGGCAAATTGTAAAAATAAATTAAGAAATAGAATTTGGACGTAAAAAAAGAATCACGTATTTATGAAAATCCAATTCGTTTGATCGATTCTATACATGTCGATGGAAAGGTGAAAAGGAAAAAAAAACTGATTAAAAAACACTAGCTAAGAACATGGCGAACGATTCCACTAGGGCAAAGCCACTATGGACAAGTGGTCTAATAGGAAATCAAATCTCCGCATGCTTGCTGACTATTGCTGGATCTTGAAAAGCGATGACAGAGAACGTCTATGCGTCTTCTCATTCATAGACGTTCTCTGGTGATGATAATGCGATTCCAAAAAAAAAAAAAATGTTTAAGGATTTCATTCCAGAACGCGGAAATTGTTGGGAGATAAAGGACTGGCTAATTTAATTATGAGGAGTAGCTTGGCCAAACACTAACATATGTGTAAGCGCCAATCTATTATTATTATTATTATTATTAATTTAATTATGAATCTGGATATTGATTTTTTAATGTGGATTTGTTCACGAAATAACTTAAAATAATTTCATTCATTGAGATTTCCGTATCTGTGGGAAAACAAGTGTATGCTATTGAAGAACTGAGTTTTTTATTTTATTTTTTCACTCATTTCTAATTGACTCATCGAAATGGGAAAGAACCCATCAGACGAATTAGATTTTCATTAATACGTGTTTTTTCTTCTTCTGAATAACAACGTGCAAATTCTATTTAATTTTTTTTTTTGAAAAATGCGATTTTGCAATTTTTCGCCACTTCAGCAGTTTTTTTCTCAAAAACTGGACGTGCTAGAAAAATTGTGTAAATGCACTTCAAATCAGCATAGAAAAATCTATAAGATGAGTTCGGCCCCGTTGTTGAGATAAAATACGTCAAATTTTGTTGAACTGTGTAATTGATTGAATTAAATAAATTGAATTGAATACCTATCTGATTATACATATTAAGTAACATACATACATCGTATATGTACTTACTAATGTTGAACGAAATGTAACTAAAACTCAATACGTCTACTCCACTTAATGATTCATTAATGGCCAAGCCCTTAGAGCTCAAATTCGCTTTTAATAAACTTTTTTGACATGCATATATGTATGTATACATACGTATGCAAATATGTATGTTGTGGGATTCACTTAAGCTAAACATGCTTTTATTGTTCATGTATCAACTTACCTGAATACAAACATACATATGTATATTTGATGGGTACGATAAAACCATTATAACTAGTGCTTTCCCTACTAAAAATTAATTTCACTAACTTAACTGATTTCCCATGACTATTATAGCTGTGTTAATGGTATTAATAATAACTAATAGTGTTTCAACGCATTTCTTTTTATTAGGCAAAGCAGAAGTGTGCGTGAGTTTGTGAAATTTGCATACAAAATTTGTTATCTAAATGAATTGGCATTGAATGTTAGAAAATCATCATCTCTTATCAATACAATTCCAAGTTATACTCGTAACATGTTTCGACGTTTTCATTTGCAGATTCCACCTAGCATGTACTTACTCTATGTATGTATATGTATGAATGAATGTATAGTTTTACCCCCATGTAGCCGGCCTCTTTACAATTATCAACACACTTGAATTGCTCATTTTGTATCTTATTGCATATACAGTCAACGCTGGTATCTAATGCTTATATGTACATATGTATATACAGAGTGTGTGTAAATATCTAGATAAAGATGTAGTCGATGTGTGTATGTCTCACATGTATGTTCCCACTACTGTATCAAGGCAGCCAATCGCTGTTGTGCCTGTTAATTATATTTGCAAACAAAGCAATGCCTTCAATTGTCGTCTTATTTATCTTTTTTTGTTCTTTTTTTTTGTTTGCGTATAATGCTTATAAAGCAAACATACTACGCCTTTGCCTTAAGAGTCTGCAGTTTCTTGCATTTTACAACGCTCCTGCATATACAGTCAGCGACAAAAATATAGTTCAGACAACGGCAAAAACCACAAATATTTTTTTTTTCAATTTCATACAGATCTCTTGGAAAATGCGAGAACACCCAAAAGATTTTCATCGAAAGTTTTAGTTTTTGAATCCGGTTTCTTAAAAAAATTTTGAGTATACAGTTTTTAGATTTTAAGTCGCTAAAACTTACCATTGATTTTTGGGATTCTTTTTTTTGTGTCGGGGGTGTTGCAAATATCTTCTAATATAACTAATATATATTTAGGTACAAATATGAAAGAAGATACGCAACATTCTAAAAATCTACGGTAATTAATTATTATCGAATTGAAATTTGCACTTTATTACACATATCCACAAAATTTGTAATGGGTTGCAAAACTGGATACTAAAATTTTTCTGAAATATCAAATTGGAAAAATTTAATATTTCTGACGGGTATGCATATTTCTGACACTGACTGTATACATATATGATTGCAGCGTTTCGACCCCGACTCTCGTCAATGCCTGTCCACATTCCGGTGGCATCGGTACTACTGTATAACTACTCGT